GAGACCCAGCAAGGCTTTCAGAAATGTATGTCTTGGGCTCAGTGTCCCTGGGGGCTGGGCATGTCTGGGGCTCTGTACCCTGAAGGGCTGGGCATGTCTGGGGCTCAGTGTCCCTGGGGGCTGGGCATGTCTGGGGCTCTGTACCCTGAAGGGCTGGGCATGTCTGGGGCTCAGTGTCCCTGGGGGCTGGGCATGTCTGGGAGACCCAGCAAGGCTTTCAGAAATGTATGTCTTGGGCTCAGTGTCCCTGGGGGCTGGGCATGTCTGGGGCTCTGTACCCTGAAGGGCTGGGCATGTCTGGGGCTCAGTGTCCCTGGGGGCTGGGCATGTCTGGGGCTCTGTACCCTGAAGGGCTGGGCATGTCTGGGGCTCAGTGTCCCTGGGGGCTGGGCATGTCTGGGGCTCTGTACCCCGGGGGGCTGGGCACATCTGGGGTCCTCTACCCCTGGGGGCTGGACACGTCTGAGTCCCTTTACCCCTGGGGGCCAGAGCTGGGCACATCTGGGACCCTGTACCCCTGGGAGTTGGGCACATCTGGGACCCTGTACCCCGGGGGGCTGGGCACATCTGGGGCTCTGTACCCCGGGGGGCTGGGCACATCTGGGGTCCTCTAAACCTGGGGGCCAGGGCTGGGCATATCTGGGGCCTGGTACCCCTGGGAGCTGGGCACATCTGGGACCCTGTACCTCTGGGGGCCAGGTCTGGGCACATCTGGGATCTTGTACCCCTGGGAGCTGGGCACATCTGGGGCCCTGTATCCGTGAGAGCTGGGCACATCTGGTACCTTGTGTCTGTGGGGGGTGGACACATCTGGGTCCCTGTACTCCTTGGCACCATGCACATTTGGGAAACTGATGTGATGGGGGGGTGCACATTGGGGCCACTCCCCCCCGCCCAGCAGTCCTGGGGAGCAGGACTACGAGCGGGAATGTCATGGCACAAGCGGGCAGGGAGCATCGGCCCTTGGCCCCCCCCGGACACTGCACATCAGCCAGGGGTGGAGGGTAGGACAGAAGCGTCTCCCTCTGGGGTCTCTCAGCCCCTGGGTCCACCCTGGCAGGGCCCCGGGCCCAGCCGTGCTGCGCTCACCCCTGGAGCAGTGCCCTGCCGCGCCAGGCGACATAGCTCCACCACCAGGAGCAGAGGTGCCTGGCTGGACCCCTGGCTTGCGGGGGCACCGAAATGGTGAATCAGATCCTCAGCCGGCCAATATGGGAGAGGAACTGGTGTCCCCTAGAGGAACCCATCCCAGGGCTTCCCCACCCACCTCGGGAAATCGTTTTTCCTCATCTCCAACCTAGACCTCCCCCACTGCAATGTGAGACCACTCGTATCTCTGCAGGCACTCTTCCCCTCCCCAGATGCTCGGGGAGGGTGGAAAAGGGGAGCCACCAATGGCAGCCCCTCTACCATCCAGTGGGGGTAGTGGGCATGGCCATGCTGCGCTCACCCACCTCCAAGGCAGCAAGGGGACGGATAGCTTGGTGTTTTGAGCACTGGCCTACTAAACTGAGGTTTGCGAGTTCAATCCCTCAGGGAACCGTTTAGGGATGTGGGGCAAATCTCTCCGGGGTGATACTTGGTCCTGTCATGAAGGCAGGGGGCTGGACTTGATATCTTTCAAGGTCCCTTCCAGCCCTACAAAATTGGGCAGAACATTCCATGCCCGTATCGGCTTTATCAGCCATTTGTGGACACACCATGGACAGTCCATAACCCGTTAGATGTCAAGGACCTCTTTGAATACGATGGACGAACAACAACCTCCATATTAAAAAAAAATCTCCAAGAAGTCTCATTTCTCCATCAAGCTCTGAGCATGAGAATCCATCATCGGTGTATAGGGTGTTGGTCAGGGAGGGAGGAGATGTTGAACCCCAACCTGGGTATTTAAAGCTATCTTTCACACTTTACAAGGGAAGTGGTTTTAGTTGCCTGGGCAATTTGCAAACATTTAAAAAGAAATACACTCCATTTTATAGACCCAGCCTCATCCTTTGGAAAGCTATAACGTGCCAACAATAAGCTGTTGTAAAACCCTTCTTCGAGTGTGCATGGTGAATAATACTTCTATTCCTCAGGTCCGTATTTCTTCATAATTTACATAATTGTGTAATCTGTTTTTATGGGGGGGAGGGTGATCTTTTGAGGTAAGTCAGACTAAAATCTTCGTGGCCCATAGACTCATGATTTAGTCCTGGGAATTGAGTAAGCATAGCATCTTCTCACATTATTTCATTTTAAGCCTGAGTTTTTTCGAAAAACGGGAAGAGCTTAAAAAAAACACACACACACGCTGCTTCAAATTGTCCTCCCTGCATGCCGTTGTGTTTTTTAAACAAAAATGTAAACTCCCTTTGCCTGGTAGTGTGGACGCTCCGCTTATAAATTCAACCTTGAAGGGGGTTATTTTGAAATCAAGTCTTACTGTAGATGAGGGATAACTGACCCTTAATTGGCCCTCACTTGAGCTTGAAGGTTCGACATCCTTCACCATAATGTCTGTTTCAACGTGTTCAGTGGGGCAAAGTGGGGGGGGGGGATTCAGGGCATCTGGGGGCAGCTCTGGGAATCTCTCCCCTGTCCCAGGCTCCTACACATCTGGCCTATACCCACACCGGGGTCAGCCACACGGCCGGCCAGCCCTGCCCCCATTACTGGAGGGAGGGGTGTATGGAGTCACCCAAATTGGTTCTGTCAGTATCTGCCCCACAGCTGCTGGATTGGGGGGTGGGTGTAATTCCAGCCCTGTGGAGGTTTCACACGCACACTCTCCATCAGAGCCAGCCCCAGAAGTTCTGGGTCAAAGGAGATCTCAGTGCCGGAGATGTTTGGGTCAGATCTGTGCCCATGGCAGCAGAGCCAAGACGGAGTGAAATTAACAAGCAGTGGGGTGGAGGGAGCCGAGGGGGGCAAAGCGTCTGGAAGTGAGGTAGCAGCGTGGCCTAGTGGCCACGGCAGAGGCCTGGCCTTCAAGCTGATGGTTTCGGTGCCTGGATCCGCTGGTGGGTGATCTTGGACAAGTCGTTGTGCCTCAGTTTCCCCATGTGGACCCAATGGTGCTTAAAATGCTTTGAGGCCAGCTTGGGTTCAACAGCCTTGCCGTTATTCAGGCTCTTGGTCATTGCAATGTGAGTTAGGTGTCAAAACACCTCTCAGGATCAGAGCCTGGTTTGCCTCATTTCGCTCTAATTTTGTTTGTGACACAACAGTACTTCCCTCCATCCTTCCCACAGCCCCCTGGTCCTGCACAACCCTGGCTCATTCACACCATCAGCATCCAGGCTGCAGACCAGTGACAGAGAAGGCAGTGAAACCGTTCAAAGAAAACGTTTTTATTCATAAAAACAAAGGACTTTTATTCGCCCTTTCAAGTGTCATTGGTTTTCCAAACCAGCATCTGTTTTGGACATGTTCCAAATAGCTGGCAACACCCACTTCTTTCTTTTGTCCCCATGTCTCCCAGCCACACTTTCTGGGTTCCCGTCCTTTGTGGAGTTTCCAATCTCCCGTCAGAATCACAATAATAAATAATTAAATAGACATAGGCGTAGGAGAGGAAACAGTAAAAAAAAAAAAAAAAAAAAAAAAACTTTAAAAAAGTAGAAGTTGGGTCCAGCTCAAAATGTGTGAAACAAAGTTTTGAAATTTCACAGGTTTTTTTTCACGTGGCCATTTGAGTACCCAGTGTTGATGTGCTGTTAAGTCTGACTGTCCGTGCTTTGCGACGGCAGGTTGGCCTTCTAAGCCACAAGGCTGCTGTGCTACTCTCTGGCTGGGTGAAAGGAAGTTTTTAAGCCAGGTAGGGAGTTTAATGGTGGAAAACCTTTGGAGAAAGGATCAGGTATAAAGAGGAGACACATGGGTCCACGGGCTATAGAATTCAACTGAGAAAACTCTACCCCACTGCAGAATCCTCTCAGCGGATGTCATATCCTATACACGTGAAAATCTGAAAAAAACAACTAGTAGTCGTAAAGACTAACAAAAAATGTAGATGAGATCATGAGTTTTCGTGGGCAACGCCCACTTCTTCAGATGACTGGAGTATTAAAAGTCCAGACCCAAGAAGAAATAAGGGAAGGAGGGGAGAAATGAAAGAGGAAGAGATAGTGGATTAGATTGTTCAAGTTACAACAAGCTGGTAAGTTGTTTTTTAAGTTTCTCCAGTTACAGACTAACGCGGCTCCCCCTCTGAAGCTTCACTACATCTGAAGAAGTGGGCTATGTTCACGACATCCCATCGACGTGTTTTGTTCATCTTTAAAGTGCTGCTAGACTATTTGTTGGTTTAAGTTTTTCCAGTTGCAGGCTAACTCGGCTCCCCGTCCAAAGCTTTTATACAAACACGGGAATTCTATCAACTCAGGAGAGAAAAAAATTCACTGATTATTGGTCTGGGGCCGTGGGGCATTTGCATCGGCCAGTCACAGCACAGACGGAGAGACCTGAGGACAGAAGGAAGGGAAATGCAGGGAAACAGCCAGGCAAACACAATGCAGAAGTATATGATTGTGGCTGTCAGAGGCAGCTTTTGGGGCACAGAGTCAGGCGCGGGACAGCAAACGGGACCTCTCTGTGGCTGTTTGAATCCCGCTGTGTTTAGGGAATTCTTCCGATATTCCTCGTCAATAAACCAGATTGCACCAAAGGAAATACTAAAATTATTGTCAATTTCTGCTCCCAGCCGGGCCATCGGTAGGACCCAAATATTGACCAGCCGTTTGGGGTGACAATACAAAAGAACAAATTTTCTAATATCAAAAGGCGTTTCCAGCCCCAAAAGTGTTTCATGACGGACCCATTCATGACATCTCTAACGCTATTATAAATATTCTAATGTAAACTCCCTCAGGGTTCCCCATAGGTATGAAGACCCATCTGGGGAATTGGGCCCTTCAACGGGAAGTGTCTCCTTCAACTCAACTTCTCCAAAGTTGCATTGATCCAAGGGATGAATTTGGAGATCCTTGTGTAGATGCTGGGGGGGCGCCCGTCCGGATCTCCATTGGAGACGATGCCCTGCACCACGCCGTCACACACCAGGGGCCCGCCGGAATCGCCCTGCCAAGAAGAATAACATCGGTGATCAGCAAGGGAGGTTGAGGTTGGACGTGAGGAAAAACTTCCTACCTGCCCGGGTGGCGAAACACTGGAATAAGTTGCCTAGGGAGGTTGTGGAGTGTCTATCCCTGGAGATATTTAAGGGCAGGTTGGATAGACACCTGTCAGGGATGGTCTAGATGGTGCTTGGTCCTGCCACGAGGGTAGGGGACTGGATTTGGTGTTCTCTCGAGGTCCCTTCCAGTTCTAGTGTTCTCTAGTTCCATGATGTTGTGTCACTTCCACCCAATTCAGAATTTTCCATAGTTTGGAATCAGCTGAACAAAATATCAAACTGCTTTTTCCTATCGGCGCTGTGGCTTATGGGTGTTGTAGTTCAGGTCTTCATTCCTTCCGAACAGCTTGGCTCCTTTGAGGACTTTCTCTCCCATCCTGCCACCCAGATTTGCCTCTGACTGAGCTGTTTGGGGCCTCATGGGAATGGCATGACTCAGAGCATTATGGGAGATTTCTCTGGCTAATTAAGAGAAATGAGAGGTCTCAGCAACAGCTCCCAGAAGGCATTGCGACAATAAGAAAGTGCTGCTGCATGTTGACATGGCTTGAAACGAAGCATTTTGGATAAACTCAACAACCGAATTCCTAGATTCATAGAAATGCCAGGCTGGAAGGAACCTTCAGAATTCCTCTCTCCCTCTACTTGGAGAACAGATGAAATTGAGCATAGACCATCCTTGATGGGTATTTGTCCAACCTGGTCTTAAAAAACCTCCATAGATGGAGATTCCACGGCCTCCCTAGAAAACCTTTCCCAGAACTTAACTGTCCTTAAAAAGTTTTTCATAATATCCAAACTACAGCTCCTGGGTTGTAGATCAAGACCATTATCTTTAGTTCTAACGTCAGTGGACATGGAGAATATTTGCTCCCTGACCTCTTTAGAAGAGCTGTTAAAATATCTGAAAATACATAATATTCCCCTCCGTCTGTCTCCTTTTCATTAGTTTAGGAATGACACAACTTCCGTGCCCCCCTCCTCTCCAGGTCTAAGTTTCTAAACCGCTGATCTTTATTTTTCTCCTTGTTTCTTATAGTTTTTTCACATGGAAGAAAAGATCTCCTTCATCTCTTAGCCTGGTCCCTTTCAATATTCCATGAAAATATTGAAAGACACATTTCGACATTTCTGAGTCAAACCTGTTTTTTCTTGGGAATTTCCAGTCTGACCAAAATGTCGCCAGCAACTTTTCTCCAAAAACAAACACTGAAATGTCTCCATTTCTCATTGGACAGGAACACTGAGTTTTCTCAGCTCCAATTGCATCCTGGCCCTACAGTAAAAGCCCCTCCACACTTATGGGACTAGGCTTTCACCCCAGGTCTTGTCTATTGGGTAGCCCCAAGGCTGAACCCCCCAGTAGACCTTTCCAGTGGTGGGGAAGAGTAGAAAAGTTTGCAAACTGTTGTTCTGAAAGTGGCGGAGGAGGCGGGTCTCCTTTTTCCTCAACACCTTCCCAGAAATAGTTTGTCTCAAAATCTGCTGACATGAAAGCCCTTTATCGACCTCCCCAGTAAACCTCATCCTACAAGGCATAATGGGGAGGTCGATAAAGGGCTTTCAGGTCAGCGCGGGAGCATCCAGACTAGTGTGCTGAGCCAACCAACAGCCAATCAGCTGTTTGTCGGCTCAGCGTGGCAGCCATTTAAATTTAAATGAAGCTGCGATTATTTAAATTGCTGCTTCATTACCCTTTGCCGATCAGCCTAATCTACATGGCTCCATCGATGGAGCCATGTCGTTTAAACACACCCTGTTGGTCCTTGTCCGGTGTAGTGACACCCTCAGGGGTCTCTCTTCCTCTGTGGCTGCTGGCGGATGGGCCCTGGCTCAGAGCAGCAATGGTTTATGGGTCACTACGGGCCTGAGCTCAGGATGAAATTTCATCCTATTTCTACCAGAGTGCTAACTCTGGAGATGCCTCCCTGGAGATACTCACTGAGCCAGGCTGCTGGGCTGGGCTGTATCTCCCAGGATGCTCCAGGGGCTCCCTTTTTGGGCATTTGGAGCATGGGAGGGACATATTGGTCTCCCCCTCCTGCACCTCTAGTGGTGCTGGGTGGAGGGATATATACCTGGAAAGCTGCCTTCTTGACGTAGGGGCTGCCAGCGCACAGCATGCGCGAGGGGTCGTAATGCCAGTACCGGTCCTGGCACATGTCGTCCGACATCACCTCCTGCTCCGCCTCCTGCAGCCTGTCGGTTCTGGTGTTCGCGCCCATCCGACCCCACCCGGCGACGCTGCACTCGGCACCTGGGGTGACAGGGACATCGGCCTCTGGCAGAGGGATGGTCCCGACCCATTCGTTCAGCTCTGCAGCGTGTGTCATCTGCCGTGGGTGAGAGAGAGAGAATGGACCTGGAGCAGGGCAGGGGTCAGATCTGGCAAGGGGTAGCAACAGCCAGCTAGATCATAGGCCTGTATGACCAGGGAATGAGTGAGAGGTCACTGGGGGTGGGGGATGGGATGGGGCGGTACCTGCAGCAGTGTGAGGTCACTGGGGGTGGGGGATAATGAAAATGCAGCTTCTCCGCTATCCCCCAGGAACAGGCGTGAAACCCATCACAGCAGAAGCTGTGAACCTGATCGTTGGGTGAGCTGCTGCAGCAGTGTGAGGTCACTGGGGGTGGAGGATGGGATGGGGCGGTACCTGCAGCAGTGTGAGGTCACTGGGGGTGGAGGATGGGATGGGGCGGTACCTGCAGCAGTGTGAGGTCACTGGGGGTGGAGGATGGGATGGGGGGTACCTTCATTAGCATAATGTCATTGTCATAGTTCTCGCTGTTGAAGTCGGGGTGCTGGACCCAGCGACGGACCCGGATCCGTTGCCAGCTCTGTCCTGGTTTCATGAAGTCTTGGACTCCCAGGTAGACAAAGATGTTGCTGGAAAATCCAAGGGGAGAATATGGGGGTGATACAGCCGATTGGACAGAGGGGTGGAGCTATCATAGTTCCTTAGAAATGGACTGAAAATTTCCCTGTGAAAATTTCTACCTCCCTTTAGGCAACTGAATAACGCAAAGACCATCTGATTCACCTTTGTGCGTAGACTTCTCCTCTTCTCTGGTTGGCCAAAAAGACCTGAAAATACTGATAGAATGCTTTCCTATGTGGGGTGACCTGTTGTCCATTTCTGTTATTGATGGTTCAAAAGAGATGCTGATAAATTGGAGAGGTGTCAGGGACAAGCGATGAGAACCATCAAAAGACTGAAAAACCCGCCTACTGCCGAGAAACTCTACAGCAGATGGCTTCACAACCAGTGCGACTACTACGGAATCCGTTGGTTTTTCTGCCTCAATGCTGTTTTCCTGTACAAATTTTTCACCGGGATAGAAACCAACCATGGGAACAATTTACCAGTGATCCTGCTTGATTCTTCATCTCTGGCAATTTTGAACCCAGATTGGATTGTTCAAGGTCTGCTGTAGATAAAAATGAGATTATTTGGGAGATAATCTCAGGTCTGCGTTGTGCAAGGTGATCAAAATAATATTGGAATCTGTAAATCATTGACGTGCATATGGCAGAAGGAAGAAAACGTCCATGGACAAGTCGGAAGCCATAACTGGTGTGTTATCTGTAAGAATTTGGTTCAAACCAGGGAATCTCAGATGACTAGGCTGGGCGGAGACAGAAATTAGGGTGTTTCAATGAGTGAAACATACAAATAAGTCAACCAGAGTTTTTTAGTGCACTGCTGCCATCTCTTGACAACGGAGAGCAACAACAGGAAGCCCTGATCTGCCAATTCAAAGGATCTTTGGAGACGCCTCCTCATATAGTTCACTGGGTTCATCAGAGAAGATGTTGAAGACCAGAAATCAACCCTGACACTTGGCCCAGCTGCCCTGGACAGACTGTTCCCTCCCCCACGGTTAGCAGGTCACGAGAAGAGAGATAAGGCCAGAAAATGTATCGCCTCGTCTCTTTCACCCCTGCATCTGGGTGTTCCCCTTCACACCCCGAGTAACATGGTAAAGCCACAAAAATACTGACAGCCGATGATCATGACTGAAGGGGGTCAGAAATACTCGAGTACAACTATTGATCCTCAACCCCGATCTATGTGAATTCCCAACCGTGTTGTTCTCGTCAGGCCTCGTCAGATCGGGTACAACTATTGATCCTCAACCCTGATCTATGTGAATTCCCAACCGTGTTGTTCTCGTCAGGCCCCAAAGACAATGACGAGACTTCTTGAAGGGCAAGAATTCTTGTGGACACATTGGATAGAGTCCAGCGGAGGGCAATAAAAATGATTCGGGGGCTGGAGCACATGAGCTATGAGGAGAGGCTGAGGGATTTGGGATTGTTTAGTCTGCAGAAGAGAAGAGTGAGGGGGGATTTGAGAGCAGCCTGTAACTCCCTAAAAGGGGGTTCCAAAGAGGGTGGAGAGAGGCTGTTCTCAGTGGGGGCAGGTGGCAGAACAAGGAGCAATGGGCTCACATTGCAGTGGGGGACGTGTAGGTTGGATATTAGGCAAAACGATTTTCCTAGGCGGGTGGGGAAGCGCTGGGATGGGTTCCCTAGGAAGGGGGTGGAAACTCCATCCCTAGTTCTGGCTTGACCAAGCCCTGGCTGGGATGGTTGAGTTGGGTTGGTCCTGCTTTGGGCAGGGAGCTGGACTCAGTGACTCCTGAGACCTCTGCCAGCCCTGGGAATCTATGATTCTAGACAGAACCACGTCACATCCAGGTTTGGGAGGCGGCGGCTGCGGGAATAGATGCGAGGAGACGCTAGGTTGCCGTTGGGGGAAGTCACTCGGCGCCGGGGTTGTCCGTATTGGATGGAGGAGCAGTGTCGGCTGGAATGTTCATCCCGGCAGGGGAGTCTAGCTAGGTGGGTTGGGATTTGGAGTCTAACAGGCACCTAGAGAAACGTGCAATTGTCATGTCCCAGAAACGTGTCGTATGTGGGGCAGCTCTGATCCCGCCTCCAAGTCAGGGCTTGGCTGGCCCCTCGGGGGTGGGAAATGGATCCCTCCCAAGGCACCTACTTTGGGCCAGCCCCAAGGCTGGGGGCACGGTTGGCTCGGGGCAGGGGTGAGGGGATGGGAATTGGTGCAGGTCCTTTCGGGGGGCACCAGGAGGGGCTAAGGGGTGTCTTACCCCAGGTTGCAGTTGCAATGAGCCGCCGTCAGCACCACGTCCTCCCGGATCAGGATGCCCCCGCAGCTCCCCACGGAGCCGATTTCCACATGGGCCATGTAGGGTCTGGAGGTGAGCGAGGCCTCCTTACCCCCGATGACCCGAGCTGGGGAGAGACAGGGAGGGGGGAAAACGGGAGGGTAGAATCAATATCCCAGGGGAACTCAGACCCGCCTCCCTCAGCCCTGTCCCCATCTCGCCTGCGTTAACTCCTCGCCCCACCCCTCCCCAACCTCCCCTCTGATCAACCCCACCCCCCGTCAGCGCTTTCCATCCCATGCATGTGCCCTTTGTACATCTACCTAGTCCCACACATACCTCTGCATCCATCCATCCATCCCATACCCCATTCACACCCACCCATCTCTCTGCTGTGGGGCCGCCCCCCAGGCACTCAGAGAACTAGCCACCAATTCCCTATCACCTCCGCTTGTCCTATTGCCCCATCACCTGAGCCTCATGGCTAATCCTACCCCATGCTCCTGGGGTGGGTGGGTGGCCCACCACTCCAGATCTCCCCTAGTTCACCTCCCGAGCCAGGCAAAAAAATATAAGCCATTGGCAAATTGGCCTTTAACAATAGAATAATTTTGGTGTCTCAAAACTACCTGCAAATTCCAATGAAACTCATGAAACTATTTAGATCGCAAATAAATACATACATACAATAAAATAGGACTTTTTTTTGAAGTAGAGAAATTTCTTTCCTGCCATTGGAAAATGAAATAGCTCCCCTTTCTGGTTTGAAATGTGCCATTTAGCAATGGAGTGAAATTTTTACAATATTGATGCAGTGAAATTAATCCTATTAAATGAACTGAAATCAAAGAAAAAAAATCCTAAAATATTTTTACAGTGAAATTAATCATAGAATCATAGAATACTAGGACTGGAAGGGACCTCGAGACGTCACCGAGTCCAGTCCTCTGACCCCATGGCAGGACCAAATACTGTCTAGACCATCCCTGACAGACATTTCTCTAACTTACTCTTCAATATCTCCAGAGATGGGGATTCCACAACCTCCCTGGGCAATTTATTCCAATGTTTGACCTCCTGACAGCTAGGAACTTTTTTCTAATGTCCAACCTGAACCTCCTAATGCTATCAAAGGAACTGAAAAAAAATTAAACACAACCTCTAAAACATTTTTCAGTGAAATTAATCCCTATCAACTAAACTGAAATGAAAGCAAACAACTCTCATGAAATATTTTACAGTGAAATTAATTCTATTAAATGAACTGAACATCAAAGTAAAAAAACACCCCCTAAAAATATGTTACAGAGAAATGACTCCTATCATCTGAACTGAAATCAAAGCAAGAAACATTGCCTAACAATTCTTTTACTTGGAAAGTGGGACCTGAAAAAATGAAGAAAAAATTGGTTTTTCAATCAAGTTTTGCATTAAACTCGCATGTTCGGTTCAAAATGCAACACATTAAAAGAATAAGGGTTAAAGAAGCACAAATTTGGACCCAAAATTGCACCAAAAATTGTTTCTGATTGATGGCAATGCCCCAAATCAAATGAGACCCCCAAATTAGGGTATCTGTACACTAGCTTGGTAGTCTGAGCTAGGTAGGCACATGAGGGCAACCAGAGTTGGAAATGAAGCCCAGGATTTAAATATCCCGGGCTTCATTTGCATCTTCCCGGGCGCCACTATTTTTAAATCCTCCTTAGTCCAAACGTGGCATGGAGTAGGTAGTTTGAATTAGAGATCCTAATTCGAACTACATACTCCATGCTGCGTGTAGCCGCAGGCACGGAGTTCGGACTAAGGGGGATTTAAAAATGGCGGCACCCGGGAAGATGCAAATGAAGCCCGGGATATTTAAATCCTGGGCTTCATTTCCAACTCTGGTTGCCCTCATGTGCCTACCTAGCTCGAACTACCAAGCTAGTGTAGACATACCCTTAGATTTCAAATCAGGGAGTTTCTTTGGGAAGAGAAAACAAAACAAAGATTTGGGGAGGAATTCATTTTTTTTAAGGGTTTTACTGTTTGGTCCCTTAACTAAAATCTCTGCCCCACGTCCAGGGTGTGCCTGCCCCACCCCCACAGGGGCCAGGGAATCAGATGGCCCGTCGGCTCTACTCACCGGAATGCAACGGGATAAAGGCCGTGGAGAGCAGCAGTAACAGCAGCATTCTAGGTGCAAATCCAGGGGCCGGGACTGGTGTTCTGTCCCCGTCCAGGGGTTTATATAGAGCGGGTGGTGAGGAGGGGCCGCTGGGGAGAGGTGACCCAGGAAGGGCAGGGTCAGGTCCCCAGCCGGCGAGGAATTCCCCAGCTCCGATGTGTCAAGAGTGGAGATTCCCCAAAAGGACAGAATATTTGAAATAACCAGGACACGGTTCACTGAGGACACATGCAAATCACTATCCTAAGGCAGGAAGAACCAGTCCCACACATACAAAGGAGACGACTTCCTGGGATGGAGGACAGCACATAAGGAGCTGGTGGATAGCAAACTACCGATGAGCTAACGGTGGAATTCTCTTGCAAAACCAAAGCACTTTATTCTGAGCAGGAAAGTTGTCAGCCAGACACGGGGAGAAATTCTTCTGCCTCACACAGCGCTGATAAGGCCTCCGGAATCTTGTGCACAGCTGAGGGCCTGGCAGGTCAAGCAAATTGTGGAGAAATCGGAGGAAGTCCAGAGCAGAGCAACAAAAAAGATTAAGGGATTAGAACATGTGGCCTGTGAGGAAAGAGAGAAAAATCCTGGATTTGTTTAGTTTGGAAAGGAGAAGGCTGAGGGGACAAGAGAGCGGTTTTCAAATATCTAAAAGGGTGGTACAAGGAGGAGGGAGAAAAATTGGTCTCCTTGGCCCGCGAGGACAGGACAAGAAGCAACGGGCTTAAACCACAGCTTGGTCCTGCTGTGAGGGTAGGAGACTGGATTTGGTGACTTCTCAAGATTTCTTCTCTTCTAGTATTTTACAATTCTATGATTTAATCGAAGTGAAATAAAATCCACACCTGTTTATAAATACGCCAGTTATGAAGAAATCACAGTATTACCCTTTAAAATTGTTTAGTATGACTTTTATATAAAAGAAAGCGGTTAAGGAGGTCTTGTACAATTAAGGAGAGAAATTATGTAGTAAGAGGTCCCCTTCCCTTTCTGTCACTTGAAGACAACTGGGCGAGGGAAGTAGATAAAAACGGTTAGAAATTAATTTTAAGATAATCTTGTTTCTTAATTCTTTGAGTAATAGTGAGTTTGACAATACACCTTCCAACCGTAGACTGCGTCCTTCCCCCCCAAAAAACCTTGACTTGCTTCTTCAGCTTTTTCCAAAGGCAAACTATAAATACAACGTTTATTACCAATGGCCCCTCTTTTAAGATGCAGCCAATCTCAAATTGAAAAACACATACTTGCTAATCTTTGTAAACTGTGAAAGAACTTTTCCCATCCCTGACAAGAAATGTTCAAAACCACCTATATTAGCAGGTTTTTATTCTGCATGACACTAAGAGGGTGTCATACAAAAAATAGCTATTTTTTAAAACATTGAAAGGAAAACTTTATAATCTATATTAGGAGCCATCTCTTCCAAGATGAACACAGCTTTAACACAGCCAGTCTATTTTTTGGGAGGATTTAGCAGAAGTTTAGTGATATAAACGTGTTTAAGATACACCCACCTAAAACAACTGTTCGTTAAGGGAAGTTTACATATGTATTCCAATTAAAAAATTAGCTTTTAGCCGCAGTGGTACATTTTACTGAATGCACAGAACAACATCTCAGTCGAATAGGAACGCTCTCACTTGAGGGGAATTTGTGTAGGTGTTCCAATAAAAAAATTATTTGTAAGTCTACAGGGCTGCCAAGTTTTACAGAAGACACAAAGATTTGAATTCAGGGCCGTCACAATTTTGTAAGATCAGCCCCTGTTTACAGACAGGTCGATTGTGAAGAAATAACGGTATTTCCCAGCATATTTTCCCGTTTAGCACGGATTTCATATACAATAAACATTCAATGAGTTATTTTACTATAAAAGGGAGAAATTACCTAGCAAGACAATGACAGACCTAGAAGAGAACTGTGCGAAGGAAGAAAATAAAATCGAACCGTTTTGAAGATAAGCACATTTCTTAATTTTTTTGGCTAACCGTGGTCACAAAGACACAGCTTGTAACAACGGACATTCTACGTGCTCAGAAGAAAACTTCTGTAAAGACATTTTTTTCAACCAAAGGCCCCTGTTCTAAGATAAAGCTATAGCCCAACAAACCCAATCTTTAAAACACAATCCTTCTGTAAGGCCACATACCATTAACATAACATTAGCTGTTGGCCTTTCATGCTGTAAAAAGGTTTTTCCTCATCATGGACAATAAAAGTTGGAAAAAACCGGCAGGAGCAGTTTTTATATCAGATGGCATTAAGAAAGCAGCTGATACAAAAAATGGGTATTTAAAAAAAAACATTAAAGAGGAAACTTTATTATTTACACCTCTTCTAAAATAACCCCCCACCCTGATTAGCTGAAGAGACACAGGCCCTGAGGGAGCCATAAAGACCAGTTTTGCATGGGCTGTGACAACAAAGATTCTATTTTTAGGAATATTGGTAGAAGTTCAGTGACATAAATATGTTTAGGATACGCTAGCCAAGGGCTGAGCCAACATGACCCGTGGGCTGGATTCCGTCAGGCAGGGTCAGCCCCTGGAGGGACCCCACACGGCCATATTTACCAGCACCTCCGCAGGTACGGGGTCTCTCAGCTCCCATTGGTTGCAGATCACCATTCCCAGCCAATGGGAGCTGCAATTGCCCGTACCTGTGGAGGTGCAGGGAAATATATTGGCAGTGCCCCACCGGGGGATTCCAAAAGCCTGGGGCTAGCTCACAGGACCAAAATCAGACAGACGAGGGCACAAAATGGGTCTCACCGACTAGGGAACAGAAAAGGTAACGAGAAGAGGGGTTTGAAATGCGTTAGAAGGAAGAGAAAGATTCAGGAAAGTGTCGGCCCACTGCTGAGCTGGGAAGGAGAACAAAGCACCCATCACATGACCATAAGAACGGCCGTACTGGATCAGACCAAAGGTCCATATAGCCCAGTAGCCCGTCTGCCAACAGTGGCCAGCACCAGGTGCCCCAGAGAGGGTGGACCAAAGACAATGATCAAGCGATTTGTCTCCTGCCATCCCTCTCCAGCCTCTGTCAAACAGAGGCCAAGGACACCATTTTATCCCCTGGCTAATAGCCTTTTATGGACCTAACCTCCATGAATTTATCCAGCTTCTCTTCAAACTCTATCATAGTCCTAGCCTTCACTGCCTCCTCTGGCAAGGAGTTCCACAGGTTGACTACACGCTGTGTGAAGAAGAACTTCCTTTTATTAGTTTTCAACCTGCTATACATTAATTTCATTTCGTGTCCTCTAGTTCTTCTATTATGGGAACTAATAAATAACATTTCTTTATCGGCCCTCTCCACACCACTCATGATTTTATAGACCTCTATCATATCCCCCCTAAGTCTCCTCTTTTCTAAACTGAAAAGTCCCAGTCTCTTTAGCCTCTCCTCATATGGGACCCGTTCCAAACCCCGAATCATTTTAGTTGCCCTGAGGTGATTGATGTGGGATTCACTTCCATGGTCACCAAAAAGTAAATACTGATCAGATACATGACACGTGTATATAAGGTTCCTTGTCCCCACACAGCTGGGGCTGGAACCCCCCTGGGACCAGGCTGCCTCCTTATATGAGCCATTAAGATGCCACTCATGGAAGAGTTGGAGAAAACACAATAGGAGAGACTGGGGGTTCTCATGCTCTGTGGCTGCTGTCTCAGGGGTTCTGGGGCACCCCAAGGGAGTGGGACGGGGGAGGAGAAGGCCTTATGGATGTAGAGGTCAGGTCTTCAACTTCTGCCCCACAGCCTCGAGGGCTCCAAACATGCCATTTTACCAAGATTTGCAGGGAGGTCCCTCGACTCCCAACACTGGAGCTTTATGAAACACATGGAGCCAATTCAGAGGGCTCGGGTCTTGGTGGAGAAACCAGGCCAGGGCCTCAGGGTGATTTTAAGTGGCTTTCTGGGGCCCAAAATTGTAGGTATGGGAGAGATTTGTCAATCTGGACAGCCAAGTTCCAGTTTCCAAGCACTCAGCCTGTTGTGTGGGGCTGTTTGCTCTGTATTTAGCCGTGCCAGTCACGGGGCAGGCCCAGAGGAACACGGCTCCAGCACTTTCTGCTGAGGGCCTTTTCTGTCGCCCATCACCATGGTATCTGTGCTCTCCCACAGGCACCGCTTCGTGGGTTACATGCTCCCCACCCTCTGGGAGAATTTCTGCCCTGGGCTCCATGGCCGGGCTCCAGCAACTCCCAGGCGAGTCCCCATCCCCTGCTTGCAGCTGTGATACATGCATTGGGGAGGAAGTAGGGAGCCCAGCCAAGCCAGCAGGTGACTCAGCATCGCCCGCGTTCTCCACCAGAGGAGCTGCTGGAGCGGAGGAGATGGAGGAGATGAACATGAGCCAGAAGCCAAGGGTGCAGGATCCAGGCAGGCCCCAGGGAACGGGGGTGGGAGGAGGAGGAGGGTCTATCCAGAGAGGGTTGACCCTGGTCTCCTTCCTCTAGACAGAGGCTGTTTCCTAGCCACCCCCTCCATCCTCTGCCGCCCCTACCATGTGTCACCAACGTGATGCTGAGGTTTCTGTGGGCACCTGTCTCGTGCCAGTGTCCCATGTGAGCTGAGCACATGGCAGCGGCCGTTTGCTGCTGGCTCTATAAAGCCCCCGGGGTGAAGTACAAGTCCTTGCCCAGCTGGAGACGATGCTGATCCTCGTCCTGCTGTCCGCGGCCTTTCTCCTGCCCCCTGGTGCTGGGGCTGGTGAGTGGGGGGGGGGGGAAAGCAGGGATTGTGGGGAGCTCTCTGGGCTTGTTGCAAATCCCAGCTCCTCCCCAGAGTCAGCTGCTTCTGCCAGGATTGATGGCTGGTTCCTAGGACCCAGCTAGTCCAGGTTCGGAGGTGGGGGTGAGAGATCCTGGGTTGCAGAGCTGGAACAGAGATAAAGACCCTGAGAGTAGGAAAGAGCATCAGGGGGCTCTTAATTCGGGGTTCAGAGCCAGGCCTCCAGGGGTCTCTCCCTACCTGGGAAGTGGGGTCTAGTGGTTAGAGCAGGCAGGGTGCGAGGAGCCAGGACTCCCTTTGTCAGTGCGATTATTGGAAATGGAAGCTCTTCAGGGAAGGGTCTGGGTGTGTGTGTGTGTGGGGGGGGAGCGATTCACACCCCTGAGCCAGAAAGTTACACCACTGTAAAATGCCAGTGTAGATTAAGCCTGAGGCTAAGACTACCAATGAACTAAATTTAAAACTCATGATGATTTTATTGAGATTTTTCAAATTTGTCCGCGTTTCACGAGGAAGAACGCCTTTGTTCAAAAGTGCTCTTTCGAAAAAAGGCGTTCTTGAAGGCAAACAGGGGTTTTCCGAAAGAGGGCATCCCGACTGCCTGGGCGCTCTCTTGCGAAAAAGCGGCTCACTTTTTCAAAAGAAGAGGTTGCAGTCTAGATGCTCTCTTTCAAAAGAGGCTGGTAGTCTAGACATACCCTTGGGGTCTGTGCCCCATATGCAACTATCAGGAATAGATTTTGAAAACAGCCTCTGGGATAAGGATGCCAAATGAATATTCATGAGTCATCTCCAGAAAGACTCCAGTGGGAGCCACATGCCCACTTGTCTGGCTTTAAGTAGCCAGATTTTGGAGCACATCTGTAGCTCAGCTGGGTCATCTCCCGCCGTGGCTGCCCTGATATCGATTGGAACCTGGCCCCTCGCTCTGGACTGTTCCCAGGGGCCCGTGAACCCCACAGAACCAGCGTTGGGTCCCCCCATTGGGGCGCCTCCTGGTGGGGGATCACCGGGGTTAATGCCAAGCGAGCAGGTTGGCCATCCCAACGTCCAACATCGCTCTGATGGTCAGAGATCTTCCTATTTCCACCTCCAGCTGTCCCTGCCCAGCTAATCCTTATGTGTCCCCATGGCTGTCCATTACCTGTCTGACCCCACTGATGCCTTTACACCGATTGTTGAGCTTTTTCACTCACCCAAATCGAGTCATTTTCAGAGCTGGTGTGAAGCTATTTTTTTTCGGTGGGAAATTTCAACATTTTCATTCGAACCCACCCCCCAGGGAATTTTTTTTTTCAGGTGACTTTAAGGATTGTTTAAAAGTCACTTGGACAGCAGGAGAAACTAGACAGCAACATGCACGTAAGAGCTCATAATGCCTGATCATAGAATCACAGAATTCCTCTGTCGACAAAGCCAGTTCTGTCGACAGAGCAAGCCGCTTTGTCAACGTGAGTGTGTAGACGCAAAGGACAGTGTAGATGCAATAACGCCCTCTGTCGACAGAACTCTGTTGACAAAAGTCGTTATTCCTCCTAGAATGAGGTTTACCGCCCTCGACAAAACTGCTGCGTTCTGTTGACGTTCTGTCGACAGAACTCGGCAGTCGTCTAGACGCAGGTCTAGGTTTGTTGACAAAACCCTGTAGTCCAGACAGAAGTCCATCAGGGTATCAAAGTCTGCAGGGCTAAGCAGACGGGAGACGTTATATATCCATTCCTGTCCATTCCTTCTTAGTTTCCAGAGTGACCAAAGGTCAAATTGTTTAACCAAACTCCTACAAATTGTCAGCTCAAAATGCAGAAAACTGGAGGGCGGGGGGCGTAGGATCAGCCTTCCTGGCAAAATGCTGACGTGTTGGAGGTGAGGAAACACTGCCTGGGAAGCCTGTAGTTGTCTTGAAAACCTGATGGAAGGGAAGCCGTGCTGAAGGTCAGTTTGGGAGCTGCCTTGGCTTGTCACGGCGGGCTGATGAAAAACGAGAAACATCAGCAGGGGATGAGTCAATGGTAGTCATGGTGACTTTGGCCCCCAAAGCCAATAACTGTCCCATACCTGGTGTGCTTGTTGCCAACTCCCCACCCAGCAAGATCAGAGCGGTAGATTTAGCTCAGGCCCCAATGAGTGTCCAGTGTGGGGCAGAGTTGAAAAGGAGCACCGTTACGGGCATAGGGGCAGGGCATTACACAGGATGGCATGAGGTCCCCTTCAGGAAGGGGAAGTTGGTGCCATCCCAGCCCAGAGACACAGAGGGGATCTTTGTATGGGCTGGGTCTCCCCACAGGTGAGATCATCGGGGGCTGGGAAGCCAAGCCCCACTCCAGACCCTACATGGCCTATTTACTAAGACAACTTGAAGGCAAGGCTTATATCTGTGGAGGGTTCCTCGTGAAGCCAAATGTCGTGCTGACGGCCGCTCACTGCAAAGGAGAGTAAGTGCCGCCGGGCAGGGAGGTGGGGGGGCAAGTGCGGTAAGTAGGGGAGGGGAGATCCTGGACCTCTGGTGCTGGTGTGGGGGGCAGGAAAGGGACAGGGGGCAGGCCAGGCTGGGGGAGCAGAGCCCAGGGGTCTGACTGGCTCAGAGGGTGTCGATGAGTCTCTAGGGGCCTCTGCGACCCACAGCCCAGCCCCAGCGCTGGGTAAATCATCTATGGGCCTCTGAAACCCACAGCCACATCCCATATCTGGCCTCTTGCCCAGGGTAGGGCAGGGAGGGGTTCCAGCCCCAGGGCAGCTGGACATGGACCCCTGCCTGGAGCCACCTGGGAGGGGGAAGTTTCCTGGAGGGGAGCTAGGATTCAGGAGTCAAAACAAGTCTGAGATGGCCAGAAAGGCGAAGGCTGCCCTGTTCTCACAATGTATTTAGACAGAAAGACAAGTGTCTGTCTCCTGCCTTTAACACCCCATGTGCTGCTCTCGGATTGAACAGCAGAATCACTGTGATCCTGGGAGCCCACAACATCCGACAATGGGAACCGAGCTGGCAAGTGATCCAAGTACGACAGCAGATCCGCCACACGCAATACGAAAGCAAGACTTCAAAAAACGACATCATGCTGCTGCAGGTACCACCCCCATCCCATCCCCCCACCCCCAGGGACCTCACGCTGCTGCAGGTACCACCCCCATCCCATCCCCCCACCCCCAGGGACCTCACGCTGCTGCAGGTACCACCCCCATCCCATCCCCCCACCCCCAGGGACCTCACGCTGCTGCAGGTACCACCCCCATCCCATCCCCCCACCCCCAGGGACCTCACGCTGCTGCAGGTACCACCCCCATCCCATCCCCCCACCCCCAGGGACCTCACGCTGCTGCAGGTACCACCCCCATCCCATCCCCCCACCCCCAGGGACCTCACGCTGCTGCAGGTACCACCCCCATCCCATCCCCCCACCCCCAGGGACCTCACGCTGCTGCAGGTACCACCCCCATCCCATCCCCCCACCCCCAGGGACCTCACGCTGCTGCAGGTACCACCCCCATCCCATCCCCCCACCCCCAGGGACCTCACGCTGCTGCAGGTACCACCCCCATCCCATCCCCCCACCCCCAGGGACCTCACGCTGCTGCAGGTACCACCCCCATCCCATCCCCCCACCCCCAGGGACCTCACGCTGCTGCAGGTACCACCCCCATCCCATCCCCCCACCCCCAGGGACCTCACGCTGCTGCAGGTACCACCCCCATCCCATCCCCCCACCCCCAGGGACCTCACGCTGCTGCAGGTACCACCCCCATCCCATCCCCCCACCCCCAGGGACCTCACGCTGCTGCAGGTACCACCCCCATCCCATCCCCCCACCCCCAGGGACCTCACGCTGCTGCAGGTACCACCCCCATCCCATCCCCCCACCCCCAGGGACCTCACGCTGCTGCAGGTACCACCCCCATCCCATCCCCCCACCCCCAGGGACCTCACGCTGCTGCAGGTACCACCCCCATCCCATCCCCCCACCCCCAGGGACCTCACGCTGCTGCAGGTACCACCCCCATCCCATCCCCCCACCCCCAGGGACCTCACGCTGCTGCAGGTACCACCCCCATCCCATCCCCCCACCCCCAGGGACCTCACGCTGCTGCAGGTACCACCCCCATCCCATCCCCCCACCCCCAGGGACCTCACGCTGCTGCAGGTACCACCCCCATCCCATCCCCCCACCCCCAGGGACCTCACGCTGCTGCAGGTACCACCCCCATCCCATCCCCCCACCCCCAGGGACCTCACGCTGCTGCAGGTACCACCCCCATCCCATCCCCCCACCCCCAGGGACCTCACGCTGCTGCAGGTACCACCCCCATCCCATCCCCCCACCCCCAGGGACCTCACGCTGCTGCAGGTACCACCCCCATCCCATCCCCCCACCCCCAGGGACCTCACGCTGCTGCAGGTACCACCCCCATCCCATCCCCCCACCCCCAGGGACCTCACGCTGCTGCAGGTACCACCCCCATCCCATCCCCCCACCCCCAGGGACCTCACGCTGCTGCAGGTACCACCCCCATCCCATCCCCCCACCCCCAGGGACCTCACGCTGCTGCAGGTACCACCCCCATCCCATCCCCCCACCCCCAGGGACCTCACGCTGCTGCAGGTACCACCCCCATCCCATCCCCCCACCCCCAGGGACCTCACGCTGCTGCAGGTACCACCCCCATCCCATCCCCCCACCCCCAGGGACCTCACGCTGCTGCAGGTACCACCCCCATCCCATCCCCCCACCCCCAGGGACCTCACGCTGCTGCAGGTACCACCCCCATCCCATCCCCCCACCCCCAGGGACCTCACGCTGCTGCAGGTACCACCCCCATCCCATCCCCCCACCCCCAGGGACCTCACGCTGCTGCAGGTACCACCCCCATCCCATCCCCCCACCCCCAGGGACCTCACGCTGCTGCAGGTACCACCCCCATCCCATCCCCCCACCCCCAGGGACCTCACGCTGCTGCAGGTACCACCCCCATCCCATCCCCCCACCCCCAGGGACCTCACGCTGCTGCAGGTACCACCCCCATCCCATCCCCCCACCCCCAGGGACCTCACGCTGCTGCAGGTACCACCCCCATCCCATCCCCCCACCCCCAGGGACCTCACGCTGCTGCAGGTACCACCCCCATCCCATCCCCCCACCCCCAGGGACCTCACGCTGCTGCAGGTACCACCCCCATCCCATCCCCCCACCCCCAGGGACCTCACGCTGCTGCAGGTACCACCCCCATCCCATCCCCCCACCCCCAGGGACCTCACGCTGCTGCAGGTACCACCCCCATCCCATCCCCCCACCCCCAGGGACCTCACGCTGCTGCAGGTACCACCCCCATCCCATCCCCCCACCCCCAGGGACCTCACGCTGCTGCAGGTACCACCCCCATCCCATCCCCCCACCCCCAGGGACCTCACGCTGCTGCAGGTACCACCCCCATCCCATCCCCCCACCCCCAGGGACCTCACGCTGCTGCAGGTACCACCCCCATCCCATCCCCCCACCCCCAGGGACCTCACGCTGCTGCAGGTACCACCCCCATCCCATCCCCCCACCCCCAGGGACCTCACGCTGCTGCAGGTACCACCCCCATCCCATCCCCCCACCCCCAGGGACCTCACGCTGCTGCAGGTACCACCCCCATCCCATCCCCCCACCCCCAGGGACCTCACGCTGCTGCAGGTACCACCCCCATCCCATCCCCCCACCCCCAGGGACCTCACGCTGCTGCAGGTACCACCCCCATCCCATCCCCCCACCCCCAGGGACCTCACGCTGCTGCAGGTACCACCCCCATCCCATCCCCCCACCCCCAGGGACCTCACGCTGCTGCAGGTACCACCCCCATCCCATCCCCCCACCCCCAGGGACCTCACGCTGCTGCAGGTACCACCCCCATCCCATCCCCCCACCCCCAGGGACCTCACGCTGCTGCAGGTACCACCCCCATCCCATCCCCCCACCCCCAGGGACCTCACGCTGCTGCAGGTACCACCCCCATCCCATCCCCCCACCCCCAGGGACCTCACGCTGCTGCAGGTACCACCCCCATCCCATCCCCCCACCCCCAGGGACCTCACGCTGCTGCAGGTACCACCCCCATCCCATCCCCCCACCCCCAGGGACCTCACGCTGCTGCAGGTACCACCCCCATCCCATCCCCCCACCCCCAGGGACCTCACGCTGCTGCAGGTACCACCCCCATCCCATCCCCCCACCCCCAGGGACCTCACGCTGCTGCAGGTACCACCCCCATCCCATCCCCCCACCCCCAGGGACCTCACGCTGCTGCAGGTACCACCCCCATCCCATCCCCCCACCCCCAGGGACCTCACGCTGCTGCAGGTACCACCCCCATCCCATCCCCCCACCCCCAGGGACCTCACGCTGCTGCAGGTACCACCCCCATCCCATCCCCCCACCCCCAGGGACCTCACGCTGCTGCAGGTACCACCCCCATCCCATCCCCCCACCCCCAGGGACCTCACGCTGCTGCAGGTACCACCCCCATCCCATCCCCCCACCCCCAGGGACCTCACGCTGCTGCAGGTACCACCCCCATCCCATCCCCCCACCCCCAGGGACCTCACGCTGCTGCAGGTACCACCCCCATCCCATCCCCCCACCCCCAGGGACCTCACGCTGCTGCAGGTACCACCCCCATCCCATCCCCCCACCCCCAGGGACCTCACGCTGCTGCAGGTACCACCCCCATCCCATCCCCCCACCCCCAGGGACCTCACGCTGCTGCAGGTACCACCCCCATCCCATCCCCCCACCCCCAGGGACCTCACGCTGCTGCAGGTACCACCCCCATCCCATCCCCCCACCCCCAGGGACCTCACGCTGCTGCAGGTACCACCCCCATCCCATCCCCCCACCCCCAGGGACCTCACGCTGCTGCAGGTACCACCCCCATCCCATCCCCCCACCCCCAGGGACCTCACACTGCTGCAGGTACCGCCCCATCACATCTCCGCAGCCCTAGCGACCTCACACATGGTGCATGGTTCCGTTTGGCATGACAGCTGAGTCGCAACGCGACACTGACCAAGGAGGTGGGATTGATCAACTTGACCACTGCGAATGGCACAGCGAGCCCCAACAGCGTGTGCAGCGTGGCTGGCTGGGGTATGACCAGCTTGACCAGAGGAACCCGCACCCTTCGGGAAGTCAACCTGACAGTGATAGCCGATGTCCATTGTCAGAAGCGGTACCGTTACTACTATCCCTCCAGCATGCTGTGCGCAGGGCTGCCCGGCTCCCCGGGGTCCTTTTACGTGGTAAGTGATGTTCTGGCCTATTCTTTTCCTGTGTCTGGTCGTGCATCCAGGTAGTGTTCCTTTGTGTGCTTCTGCTGGCTCTCTCAATATGTTCAAGGTACAGTGGGTGCTTTTGGGGTTTCTCTGCTCAGAATCCCCTTCCAGTTCCTTGCTTTGGACCTTTCCTCTGCCTCTTTGTTTCCTTTTATTCATGCCAAGTAATCATTTCAGTTCCTGGGCTCAGTGGATCCACCCCGTAGGCTTGGGAAGGGTCTTTTAGCTCTGGGAGGGTTATATCCACCCACATCCCAAGTTCCAATGTGTCGGGGACTTGAACCCGGACGGCCTCTGTTCATTGTCTCACCGCAAAGAGACAGGCAACACCAGCAAGATCCAATCACAAGCTCTTTATTGAATGGTGCACACAACAATAGAGAGTGGCCCGTCTCCAAAGTGAACCAGCCCCGATTTCATTAGACAGTTCCGTCGCATCAGACTATTCGCCCAAGCAACCAACCCTCCTTTATCGGTTAGAAACTTTAGTATCCATGCACACCTGGCCAACTATACATCATGGCCTTAAGCAATTCATAATACATCAGCAATTTCTTATCAGCCCAAAAGACAGGTACTGGGCAGCAAGGAGACAGTTTGTTACGGCCAAAGGAGAACATCAACAGGGAGTTTGGAACGAACAGGGGAAGAGCAGAAACAGGGAGTCTCCTTATCAGTTCTCAAAACAAACTGTTCCTCATCACAGCAGGTACAAAAATGCAGCTTCTTGCTTATCTCATTTTGCCATCTCTGCTTGAACCTGTCTCCAGTTCTGTCCAGGGACTACCCAGAAACCTTTGTTACATTTGCTTTAGCATAACTGCACTAGGCCTAATTCTCTAGGGCCTAACAAATGCAACCTCCACCTCCGATGTGTGATTGAAAGAGACTCCTGGAGAACTGAAGGTCTGGGCTTCCACAGAGAGCGCTACAGAGCTGTTAAATGTCACCCTCTTCCATCAGCTGCAATGAGAAAGTCACTGTGAACTGGCGACTTTTACATCAAGCCTGGATGTTTCTTTTTCAGCTGATCTGTTCTCAAGTCTCAGAGGGCGCCTTGTTCATCTGTCCACTTCAAAATAACAAGTGGCGCCCTATTTTTGTGAGGGGCTAACACAAATATTGAGAATCATGAGCTTTCGTGGGCAAAACCAACTTCATCAGATGTGCCGGACCGAGTAAGGTTTATTAACTGGGTCCTATTTGTACCATTTAATGTGAAAACATGGATGGTAAAGGCAGAAGAAATCGACTTTGTAATTCGCCAATCAGTTAATATCTTTAGTCAAGCCCAGGGTAAGAGGGTAGATGAATTCCAGTTCTGAAGACTTTCTCTGTAACTGTGATGAGGAGTCCTGTAGCACCTTGTAGACTAAGGGTATGTCTACACTACAAACAGCCATTAGTTCAAATTAACTTTAATAGGCGCTACACATACAAACCGCTAGTTCAAACTTAATTTGAACTAGCGGAGCGCTTAATTTGAACTAGGTAAAGCTCATTCTACGAGGACTAACGCCTAGTTCGAATTAACTTGAGCCCCAGCGCATGGAAAATTACTAGAAAAAGGTGGAATCGTACATCCTAGGTGTTTGTCCCATGTCCTTATGCACCTTGCTACATCACTGGGCCTGCACTGTCCATGTGGCCTTCCAAGAGACCTCGGAAAGGGACCCTTGATGAGTGGATTTTCCTTAATTGGCCATCAAGACACGGTCGGCTAGTCTTGAGGTGGAAATCCCTTGTGGGTGTCACTCAAGAGCCAAACATAGTTGAGGTGCTCACAGCCAGCCAATACTCACAACCGCAGACACAACGACGTGTCGTGGATTTAAACAGGACAATGACACTTACGAGATGATCACCTGTCCAAGGATAGTGTACAAGACGTGCCTTGTGTAAGACTGATTACCATTGTGTCACCATGGGGACTGTCTACGTGCAGCTAAACTTAAAAAATAACCAATAGTCTGATAGCATTTGTAGAACACGCAGAGGGTATCATGAGCCCACTTCAGATGACACGACAGCTCATGAGCCCATCGACATGTTCTGTTAGTCTATAAAGTGCTACAAGACTAGTTGGTTTTTATGATGATCCTGTGCAGACTAACTCGGTTACCCCCTGAAGCTAAGGGTAGCTAGTCATCTTTCTTTGTACATCGCGTCAGATAGGAGGTTGGGGTAGATCACGACAGGGGTGTTTCTGGTCTTAGTTCCCTGAGTCCTTCCTTTTGGGCTTCTCAGTGTGAATTCAGTTTTCACATGCTTTGGGTTTACTGGCCCAGACAGCTCAGGAGACCCAGGTCTGATCGAGGCATTAACTCTTCTCTCCCGGCTTGTTCTGGGACAGGGCGATTCTGGGGGCCCTCTCGTGTGCGGTGGAGTAGCCGAGGGCATCGTCTCCTTTGGTGTCAATAACAGCACTGCCCCTCCTGTTGGGCTCACTCGGATTTCCCACTTTGTGCCCTGGATCAAAGCCAACCTGCCGTAAATCTAGCTACGCAGATCCGATGGTCGGCCACGGGCTCCTGCTACACCACCTGCTCCTCGACACCTGGGATCAGACCTTCCTCTGCAACTGGGCCCAGTACCCATCATTGGTTGGTGACAATGGCTCCATTCCCCACCCCTCTGAGCCAGCCACTCCACTGCCCCAGGGCCGGACCTGAGCGGAAACCCTAGAGCAGAAACCCCATGTACCGTTCCCCTTTCTGCTTGTGTCCTGGGGGATCCCTGCACAGTGCTGAGGAAACTGTGCAACGTTCCCTGCTCACGATGCATTAAATGGTGTCTGGACTCGTGAGAGACTGGCTGGTTGTGACAGCTGGGCTGTCCAATCCCCCCACCCAGCCCTTGATTGAGGGGCTGGGTGTGGAGCTCACAAGGGGGGAAACAAACAGGTAAAGGGACATGTGGGGAGAAGGGGAAAGGCCCCAGTGCGGGCAGGCCTTGGCCCCGGTCGACATTTCAACCCACAGGCGGCCCCTTTGGATCCAGCCAGAAAAGGCAAGTGCTGAAAGATGCCAGAGATGCACCTATGGAACCAGCTAAACCAATTGGGGGAGAGAGGAAGAAAGAGACTGGATGGACAGAAAGAATTTAGATGGAGAGCGAGAAGGCAAGATGGCTAAATAGAGATAGATAGAGGGCGCGTGTGGGGATAGACAGACAGACAGAGGGCGCGTGTGGGGATAGACAGACAGACAGACAGACAGAGGGCGCGTGTGGGGATAGACAGACAGACAGACAGACAGAGGGCGCGTGTGGGGATAGACAGACAGACAGACAGACAGAGGGCGCGTGTGGGGATAGACAGACAGACAGACAGACAGAGGGCGCGTGTGGGGATAGACAGACAGACAGACAGACAGAGGGCGCGTGTGGGGATAGACAGACAGACAGACAGACAGAGGGCGCGTGTGGGGATAGACAGACAGACAGACAGACAGAGGGCGCGTGTGGGGATAGACAGACAGACAGACAGACAGAGGGCGCGTGTGGGGATAGACAGACAGACAGACAGACAGAGGGCGCGTGTGGGGATAGACAGACAGACAGACAGACAGAGGGCGCGTGTGGGGATAGACAGACAGACAGACAGACAGAGGGCGCGTGTGGGGATAGACAGACAGACAGACAGACAGAGGGCGCGTGTGGGGATAGACAGACAGACAGACAGACAGAGGGCGCGTGTGGTGTCGGGCCCTGAGCCTAAGAGGGCCCCGTGCTGGTGCCATGGCTGGGGGGGGGGGAATTGGGTGTGTGGCGCTTTTTTTTTTTAATTTTTTTATTTTTTTTGGTGCTCAACAAAAAATCCTAGCTGCTGGGGCCCCCTCGAAAGTGTTCAAATCAGGCCCTGCACTTCCTAAAGCCGACCCTCATCCCCTGACTCCCCCCACCGCTGTCTCCCTTCGCTGACCCCCACTCCTACAGCAAACCTTGTGCCCCGAGCCCCCGTCCCCATGGCGCTTTTTTTTTTTAATTTTTTTATTTTTTTTGGTGCTCAACAAAAAATCCTAGCTGCTGGGGCCCCCTCGAAAGTGTTCAAATCAGGCCCTGCACTTCCTAAAGCCGACCCTCATCCCCTGACTCCCCCCACCGCTGTCTCCCTTCGCTGACCCCCACTCCTACAGCAAACCTTGTGCCCCGAGCCCCCGTCCCCACCCTCAGCCCTGCACCCCACTCTCAGCCAGCCACCCCCAGCCTGAGTCCTCCTCCACCCACCCGCCGCCCTCTGCTCTCCCCTCCCTCCATCCCCTGACCTGACCCCACACTTACATTTCTTACCTGTACGGCTTTCTCCTCTCACCTCCACAACCCATGACAGACACCCCGGGGGAAAGGGGAATTGAATTACCTCAGGGCCTCTCCGACACTGCTCTGACTTTCACCCTTGGATGGTACCAGATGCCTGTCAGGGTTGTTCCCCATTCTGGCACCCCAGTTGCAGAAGGTGAGGGCCTGCAAGAGACCTCAGACCCTGCCTCTCCAGGTGCTCGTTATAAAAATTCCCCCCCGGGAATCCTAATATGCAAATTTTGGGGAATCGCTGCTGCCATCAAGTGCTTTTTGATCCCTAAAAAACCAGGGGTGCACACTTGAAACCACCCCCAGAGGTCCCCCAAGCTTTTTTGCCCCAAAAGAGCTTGACAAAGAAAAGAGAAATACAAGCTAGAACTAGAACTAGAACAGAGGACACCAAATGAAATTAATGGGGAGCAGGTTTAAAACTAATAAAAGCCAGTTCTTCTTCACACAGCGCGTAGTCAACCTGTGGAACTCCTTGCCAGAGGAGGCTGTGAAGGCTAGGACTATAACAGAGTTTAAAGAGAAGCTAAATAATTTCATGGAGGTTAGGTCCATAAAAGGCTATTAGCCAGGGGATAAAATGGTGTCCTTGGCCTCTGTTTGTCAGAGGCTGGAGAGAGATGGCAGGAGACAAATTGCTTGATCGTTGTCTTCAGTCCACCCTCTCTGGGGCACCTGGTGCTGGCCACTGTCGGCAGACAGGCTACTGGGCTAGATGGACCTTTGGTCTGACCCAGTACGGACATTCTTATGTAAGCTGCTGTCTCTGGTAGCTGACCCCTCAGGCAGATGCCGGCCGATACCCAGAGACACACCGTCCAGGACACAGGAATCAAACCCTCACCTGCAAAGAAGGGATTTGTATTACGAACTGAAAGATGCCACCCAGTCAAATCTCTCTAGTGTGAGATGTTACAGAGCAACTAGGGAAAACAAATAAAAAAAGCAGAGAAAAGTCTCAGCACAAAGCTTAGAGGGTCGTCAATGGGGAGGGGAGGCAGAGACTCAGACACAGGAGGTCACACCCAACCACAAGAGAAAGAAAAATCACCTTCAACACAATTGAACTCACACTTCCCTCGTGCTCACTTCTAATCTTCTCTTTGCTCAGTCTGCTCCCCCATTCTGACTTCCATGTGTGTTTGTGGACGGGGTAGGAGAGGTAGTCATGCCCGAATTTAAATGTGTCAACTCCTGGTGTAACTTTCCCACACAAAGAAGCAAGCAGGGAATCTATTTCCAATTCAAATTCCAACCCTCTATCTCGATTGCTTCTCCCGGCCCACTGGCCAACATCTTTGCTGGGTACCTCAGTTAACCCCGCTGTCAACGGGTGTTGGTCAACACTCCCCCTGTTCATAACAATGACCCACAACAATAGGAAGCACCTGCAATACGATTGCTTTTCAACACACCTTTCACAAGAGCGAGACCACAGAACTGTCGCAATAAGTATTGTTCCCACTGGAACTTACACAACTTACACAGTGTATGAGTCACTTGCAGAAATGTTTGCACAAGGCCTCCACAAAAATCTCTTTCTTGGATCCAAATAAATCACATTCACAAAGAAGGACACAATCAAGGGGTCTTGAAAGTGCTACACAGAGACATCACCACCTGGAAAGCCAGAGACATAGACAAGGGACCCTTCGAACACATGAAAATAAAGATCGAATAGAGAAACTCACCTTCAGAGACCTAAGAAGACATCAAATGATACCGAGGAACACAGACAACCTCAAATGCAGAGATAGAAGACGTCAACTCAAACACACGGAAGTGAGGAACACAGAAAATCTCGACTTCTAAGGGTGTGTCTAGACTACAGGGTTTTGTCGACAAAAGCGACCTTTGTTAACAAAACTATACCTGCGTCCACACTGCCTTTGAGTTATGTTGACATAACGTCGACAAAACTCAGCAGTTTTGTCGACGTATGTAAACCTCATTCTACGAGGAATAACGCCTTTTGTTGACAGAGTTCTGTCGGTAGAAGGCGTTATTGCATCTACACTGTCCTTTGTGTCCACACTTATGTCAACAAAGCGGCTTGCTTTGTCAACAGAACTGGATGTTGTCTAGACGCTCTTTGTCGACAGAAGCTTTGTCGACAATATCTGTCGACAAACCTTCTGTTGACAAAACCCTGTAGTCTAGACATACCCTAAGAGACAAAACACAACACTCCATAGCTCATGCAAGTGCCACTAAGGAATGGAGACAAACTCAACGCAGACCAACCCAACGGCTCTAGCCAACAAATCATTTACATGCAAGATGCACATTTTCCAAAACAACCACAAAATCCCCCCATTTCTTGCCTTAAAGGCCTGAGCAACACCGGGGAAATCTGCTGGCAGCTTTCTGAATAATTAGGCAGGCTCTTGAAATGTAGTATTAGTTTGTTTGTTCTTTAAACTTTTGCCTAAACAAATTGCCCAGAAAAACGAAAACCACTTCTCCTGTGAAGTGTGAACGGTAGCTTTAAAAGTCCAGGATGTGGTTCAGCATCTCCTCCCTCCCTATCTAGCACCGTACACGGTGGGTTCCCATGCTCAGAGCTTGATGGAGAAATGGAGCCACCAAGAGATTTGAAGCTGCTTTCTGGGGCCCAGAATTGTAGACACATGAGAGAATCAAACATCTGGACGACGTTTCCTAGCACCCAGTGCTGCCGTGTGGGGAAGTTTGCTCTTTCCTGAGCCATGCTGGCCATGGGGCAGGTGCAGAGGAACCCGGATCCAGGGCTGTCTGCTCCCCTGAGCCCCTCCCAGACCCCGTCTCTCCTGATACCCTGCACCCCAAACACCCACCCTGCACCCACCCTGCCCTGACCCCTTCCCACACCCCATCTCCTCCCCAGACTCTGCACCCCAACTCCTGCCCTCAATCTCTCCCACACCATGTCTTCTACTCAGACTCTGCACCCCACATCCAGCTGTGAGCCCCTCTCACACCCCATCTCCCCCTCAGGTCCTTCACTCCAAATCCTGCCATGACCCCCTCTCGCACCATCTCCTCCCCAGACCCTGCACCTCACCTCTTACCCTTAGCCCCTCCTGCACCCCATCTCCCACCACATTCTGCACCCCACGTCTTGCCCTGAGCCCCTTCCACACCACATCTCCTACCCAGATGCTGCATCCTCAGCTCTTGCTCTTATTTCTGCCTGTGTCTGAA